AGAGACAGACAGACAGACAGAGAGAGACACAGAGAGACAGATACAAACATACATACAAACTATTAGATAGATACATGTAGATAGATGATTAATAGAAAGATAGATTGGTACATAAATAGAAGAAGAACTTTATTGACACAACAAAACCACATACAGGGAATGTCGTAAGGACTATGACTAAACATATAGATTGATAAATGTTTTATACAAAACTTACCGCAATCGTGTTCATCACTTCCATCAGGGCAGTCCCTGATGCCGTCACAAGTACGGTTCAGGTCGACACAGTCTCCATTTGAACATGTAAACATTTCAGGGGAACATGTTGCTGCAAAACAAAAAAAAACAAAAAACTGACTGTGTAAGACATGAATTGCTTTTATACATGGAATGATTTGACGTCAATATTGGTCACAAGTTTCCATTTCGTACCTGGTTTTGACACTCCAGTAATATCAATGATATGGTCTCCATCTATGCATTACTTGGGACACTGATTTTTTACGCCCCCCCCCCAAAAAAAGTCGCTGCCCGTCGAGCGAATTTTGTTAATTTGAACGGAAGTTGGACCTATAGCTAACAAGACTGAATTTTAGGCAGCTGATTTTGGTTTTGTTATATGATGGCAGGGAACTTTTGACTTACATGGGGGATCCTCAGCAGTAAAGGTGGCGAAAAATCCGGAATAAGTCATTGAATAATCACTGGTAAACACCAGAAAGGCGCTGTTCCCAGTGGTGGTGACTGTTCTAGCTGACCAACCACAAAGGGTGGCAAGCACAGGAGTAGTAGCGTCTGGACCATCATGCACAACGAGGGAGTCATAGGCACAGAAGTATTCATACTCCAGGTTGAACGCTGTAAATCTGCAAGAATTTTGCAATTGATGCCATATTTTTGCAATATGTGATAACATGGACATTACGTATTAAGATCAAAATATGCAAACTATACTATTGCATTTTGAAGTGTCATATGACCTATGTGTGAATTTATACAAGATTCCAGATCACTGTACATGTTATCAGTGGTAAGTATAGTTTCTGTCCAAGAACATGTAAGAAAATTAAACCTAGAAAGAAGACAATGTCTTACCGGATGGCAACAACGTCACTCATATTGACAGATATCTGCCAAGTACAGTAAGCGTTGTTAGGGTAGTTTCCTGGGTAACCCGGAGAAGTAAAGCTGCCAGAGTTCCCATTCAGTACAGTCGGGTTGCCACATGACACAGTCTCTGTAGTTGCCACACGTTTAGTGGTACCTACGGTGGAACTGGCTTGTGGTGTTGCTGCAAATGCAAGTATGTCATATTCAACATGAACAAAAACAGTGCAAACAAAATCACACGCGCACACACACACACACACACACACACACACACATACATGTATATATAATATGAGAGAGAGAGAATGTATATATAGAGGGAGAGAGAGACAGGCAGACAGAGAGAGAGAGAATGTATATATATATATATATATATATATATATAGAGAGAGAGAGAGAGAGA